AAAAGACCTAAAATAACAAACCCAAAACAATTAAGAAAATGGTAATAGGAACATACATATCGATAATTGCCTTAAAGGTAAATGGAATAAATGCTCCAACCAAAAGACATAGACTGGCTGAATGGATGCAAAAACAAGACCTGTGTATATGATGTTTACAAGACACCCACTTCAGACGTAGGGACACACACAGACTGAAAGTGAGGGGAAGGAAAAAGATATTCCACGCAAACGGAAATCAAAAGAAAGCTGGAGTAGCAATTCTCATACCAGACAAATAAAACTTTAAAATATAGACTATACTATTACAAGAGACAAAGAAGAACACTACATAATGATCAAGGGATCAATCCAAGAAGAAGATATAACAATTGTAAATATTTATGCACAACATAGGAAATCAAAAGAAAGCTGGAGTAGCAATTCTCATACCAGACAAATAAAACTTTAAAATATAGACTATACTATTACAAGAGACAAAGAAGAACACTACATAATGATCAAGGGATCAATCCAAGAAGAAGATATAACAATTGTAAATATTTATGCACCCAACATAGGAGCACCTCAATACATAAGGCAAATACTAACAGCCATAAAAGGGGAAATTGCCAGTAATGCAATAATAGTAGGGGACTTTAACACCCCACTTTCACCAATGGACAGGTCATCCAAAATGAAAATAAATAAGGAAACACAAGCTTTAAATGATACATTAAACAAGATGGACTTAATTGATATTTACAGCATGTTGCATCCAAAAACAACAGAATACTCTTTATTCTCAAGTGCTCATGGAATATTCTCCAGGATAGATCATATCTTGGGTCACAATCAAGCCTTGGTAAATTTAACAAAACTAAAATCATATCAAGTATCCTTTCTGACCAAAATGCTATGAGATTAGAAATCAGTTACAGGGGGGGAAAAAAGTAAAAAACACACACACATGAAGGCTAAACAATACGTTACTAAATAACCAAGAGATCACTGAAGGAATCAAAGAGGAAATCACAAAGTACCTAGAGACAAATGACAATGAAAACACGACAACCCAAAACCTATGGGTTGCAGCAAAAGCAGTTCTATGAGGGAAGTTTATAGCAATACAATCCTAACTCAAAAAACAAGAAACATCTCAAATAAATAACCTAACCTTACACCTAAAGCAATTAGAGAAAGAAGAACAAAACAAATCCAAAGTTAGCAGAAGGAAAGAAATCATAAAGATCAGATCAGAAATAAATGAAAAAGAAATGAAGAAAATGATAGCAAAGATCAATAAAACTAAAATGCTGGTTCTTTGAGAAGATAAACAAAATTGATAAACCATCAGCCATATGCATCAAGAAAAAAAGGGAGAAGACTCAATCAACAGAAATAGAAATGAAAAAGAAAAAGTAACAACTGACACTGCAGAAATACAAAAGATCATGAGAGATTACTACAAGCAACTATATGCCAATAAAATGGACAACCTGGAAGAAATGGACACATTCTTAGAAAAGCAGAACTTTCCGAGACTGAACCAGGAAGAAATTGAAAATATAAACAGACCAATCATAAGCAGTGAAATTGAGACTGTGATTAAAAATCTTCCAACAACAGGGCTTCCCTGGTGGCGCAGTGGTTGAGAGTCCGCCTGCCGATGCAGGGGACACGGGTTCGTGCCCCGGTCCGGGAAGATCCCACATGCCGCGGAGCGGCTGGGCCTGTGAGCCATGGCCGCTGAGCCTGCACGTCCGGAGCCTGTGCTCCACAATGGGAGAGGCCACAACAGTGAGAGGCCCGCGTACAGCAAAAAAAAAAAAAAAAAAAAAATCTTCCAACAACAAAAAAAACGCTAGGACCAGATGGCTTCACAGGCGAATTCTATCAAACATTTACAGAAGAGCTAACACCTATCCTCAAACTCTTCCAAAACATAGCAGAGGGAGGAACACTCCCAAACTCATTCTATGAGGACAGTCACCCTGATACCAAGACCAGACAAAGATGTTACAAAAAAAAAAGAAAATTACAGGCCAATATCACTGCTGAACATAGATGCAAAAATCCTCAACAAAATACTAGCAAATACAATCCAACAGCACATTAAAAGGATCATACACCATGATCAGGTGGGGTTTATCTAAGGAATGCAAGAATTCTTCAACATATGCAAATCAATCAATGTGATAATCCATATTAACAAATTGAAGGAGGAAAACCATATGATCATCTCAATAGATGCAGAAAAAGCTTTTGACAAAATTCAACACCCATTTATGATAAAAACCCTCCAGAAAGTAGGCATGGAGGGAACTTATCTCAACACAATAAAGGCCATATATAACAAACCCACACCCAACATCATTCTCAATGGTGAAAAACTGAAACCATTTCCAGTAAGATCAGGAACAAGACAGGTTGCCCACTCTCACCACTATTATTCAACATTGTTTTGGAAGTTTTAGCCACAGCAATCAGAGAAGAAAAAGAAATAGAAGTAATCCAAACAGGAAAGAAGAAGTAAAACTGTCTCTGTTTGTTGATGACATGGTACTATACATAGAGAATCCTAAAGATGCTACCAGAAAACTACTAGAGCTAATCAATCAATGTGGTCAAGTAGCAGGATACAAAATTAATGCACAGAAATCTCTTTCATTCCTATACACAAATGATGAAAAATCTGAAAGAGAAATTAAGGAAACACTGCCATTCACCATTGCAACAAAAAGAATAAAATACCTAGGAATAAACCTACCTAAGGAGACAAAAGACCTGTATGTAGAAAACTATAAGACTCTGATGAAAGAAATTAAAGATGATACAAACAGATGGAGAGATATAGCATGTTCTTGGATTGGAAGAATCAACACTGTGAAAATAACTATACTACCCAAAGCAATCTACAGATTCAATACAATCCCTATCAAACTACCAATGGCATTTTTTACAGAAGTAGAACTAAAACTTTCACAATGTGTATGGGAACATAAAAGACCCCAAATAGCCAAAGCAATCTTGAGAAAGAAAAACAGAGCTGGAGGAATCAGGCTCCCTGACTTCAGACTATACTACAGAGCTACAGTAATGAAGACAGTATAGTACTGGGACAAAAACAGAAATATAGATCAATGGAACAGGATAGAAGGCCCAGAGATAAACCCACACACATATGGTCACCTTATCTTTGATAAAGGAGGCAAGAATACACAATGGAGAAAAGACAGCCTTTTCAATAACTGGTGCTGGGAAAACTGGACAGCTACATGAAAAGAATGAAATTGGAACACTCCCTAACTCCATACACAAAAATAAACTCAAAATGGATTAAAGACCTAAATGTAAGGCCAGACAATATAGAACTCTTAGAGGAAAACATAGGAAGAACACTCTATGACATAAATCACAGCAAGATCCTTTTTGAACCACCTCCTCGAGAAATGGAAATTAAAACAAAAATAAACAAATGGGACTTAATTAAACTTAAAAGTTTTTGCACAGCAAAGGAAACCATAAACAAGATGAAAATACAACCCTCAGAATGGGAGAAAATATTTGCAAACGAAGCAACTGACAGAGGATTAATCTCCAAAATATACAAGCAGCTCATGCAGCTCAATATCAGAAAACAAACAACCGAATCCAAAAATGTGCAGAAGACCTGAATGAACATTTCTCCAAAGAAGATATACAGATTGCCAACAAACAATGAAAGGATGCTCAACATCACTAATCATTAGAGAAATGCAAATCAATACTACAATACACAATCTCCTCATTGTGATATCTCAGAATGGCCATCATCACAAAATTTACAAACAATAAATGCTGGAGAGGGTGTGGAGAAAAGGGAACCCTCTTGCACTGTTGGTGGGAATGTAAATTGATACAGCCACTATGGAGAACAATATGGACGTTCCTTAAAAAACTAAAAATAGAACTACCATACGACACAGCAATCCCTCTACTGGGCATACACCTTGAGAAAACCATAATTCAAAAAGAGACATGTACCACAATGTCCATTGCAGCTCTATTTACAATAGCCAGGACATGGAAACAACCTAAGTGTCCATCAACTGATGAATGGATAAAGATGTGGCACATATATACAATGGAATATTACTCAGCCTTAAAAAGAAACAAAATTGAGTTATTTGTAGTGAGGTGGATGGACATAGAGACTGTCATACAGAGTGAAGTAGGTCAGAAAGAGAAAAACAAATACTGTATGCTAACACATATATATGGAATCTAAAAAAGTACCTAGGGGCAGAACAGTAATAGAGACATAGACGTAGAGAACAGAATTGAGGACACAGGGCAGGGGAAGGGTAAGCTGGGACAAAGTGAGAGAGTGGCATGGACATATATAGGTACGAAATGTAAAATAGATAGCTAGTTGGAAGTAGCCGCATAGCAGAGGGAGATCAGCTTCGGTGCTTTGTGACCTCCTAGAGGGGTGGGATAGGGAGGGTGGGAGGGAGGATGACGCAAGAGGGAGGAGATATGGGGATATATGTATACATATAGCTGATTCACTTTGTTATACAGCAGAAACTAACACACAATTGTAAAGTAATTATACTCCAATAAGGATGTTAAAAAAAAAAAGTGGTCCCAGAAAGGTGATCTTGCCTAAATGAAAGAAAAGAGAGAAGGCAGGAAATAGCACATTTGGGGAGGAAGTTGAAAATAGCCTAGGACATTCTAAATGGGGGTGCAGTGGAGACAGATAAATAAGGATCTGGGTCAGCAACATAAATACAGGACACAGGGTTTGGAGTAAGGTCACCACCATGGACAACTATGGTGACCAGGATGAGCATTACTTACCAGAAGAGAAAGCAGAGGATGAAGAGTGTCCATAAATGTTAGTACCACCCATTTCTAACTTCCACGCTAATCTAGACAGCCTGAGTCTTTCTTCTTTGAAATTATATGTGATAAACAGCATTTGAAACAAAAAGAGAAGAAAAGTGCAAGTTCAAATGCTCTTGAGCTCTCACCCCTTGTCAGCTTTCTGCAATGAAGTGGCCACTTTGATGATGTTTTCAAGATCCTGACCCCTTCAAACAAACAAACTCAAGTCAATGACAGTAGAGCTACCTTAGAAGGAGCTAAAATGTTTGATCTGTGTTCAGTGAAGAAAGCAAAACTCCAAGTGTTATCAGGAGTTACTGAGTTTAACTGAATAACAAAATAGTCTGTCATGTCAGCTCACAGCATTCACACACACACACACACACACACACACACACACACACACACACCCCACTCACTCCACCTGGGCATTGGCTCTGCCATCTACTGCTCACTGAAATAACTACAGTTTCTCCTAAAGACTTATATTGGTTGTACACAATTTATATACTTAAAAGGATATGGATAAATTGGGAGATTGGGATTGACATATACACACTACTATATATAAAATAGATAACTAATAAGAACCTGCTGTACAGCACAGAGAACTCTACTCAATACTCTGTAATGGCCTATATGGGAAAAGAATCTAAAAAAAAAAAAGGTGGATATTTAAAAAAAAAAGGACATGGGAAAAAAAATTCAATTAACTGCAAAAGTAAACACAGAAACATGTTCCAAAGTTTTTCTACCAACCAAGGAGCATTAAGCAACATATTCAGATGATCAATTAGTCCCTTATATGAGGTGAAAGTATCTGTCTTCTTATGTTTCCAAAGGGAAAGAAAGTACATTTAAAACTGTAGCTAAGCTTGAATCCCCTCTGGTCTCCCTAGGTCATGAAAAGGAATAATTAGGGAAATCCTTATAGCTTTACCTGTAATTAAGACCTGTGCTTCATAAATGATATCTTAGAAAGTTAATAGGGTTCCAAGAAGATAGAATTTTGTAGTCAAGTAAATTTGGGAAACATAACCGACTTTTAGAGATTTGGAATATGTATAAGCACACTGAAGGTTCTGGGAAGTTCATGATAGAGAGCTCTATTCCATTGTGTTTCCTAAACATGTAAGCCATTAAATGCTTCTTTCACAAAGCATTCATTGACATCTTGTGGCACATGGGACATAGTTTGGGAAAGATAGAGATAGAGCCTATCTATATAGAGATAGTACCTTAAGGTACTAGGTACAGGGTACTCTCCCCAAAGGTAAGATATCTGTGTGATGCATGCCTGAGAGTCAAGGGAGATAATAAAGAAAATAAAAAGTATGTAAGTTTGGCACTTTGAAAAATGTGTTTCAGTCAAAAAAAATTGTCTAAAAAAATTGGCTTATATTTAATGGTTAAGATGGTAAATTATGTTAGGTTTTTAACCATAATAAAATAATTGGTTTATCATATTGATAGATCTATAAAACAACATTGCTCAAAAACTAATTTTAAAAATAGTGTTTTTCAAATAAATAAATAAATATCCAAAACAAATACTAAATTGGATGGGATGTTCAAGACAACAGGCATAAACCAGCACTGTCAGGGGGAAACCTTGCTCAAAAGCATCAACACAATTTATAAGCCTTTTTCTGATGGTGCAGGTGAAGCTGAATATGATCTTGTTATACAGCCAATTCTAGGCAAAGCTTTTGCAGATGTTCAATCAAATAACTATATTTCCACCTATTCACTTACACATCAACAACAGCTGTATCATAAACCTTGGGACAAGTGCTAGGAATAAAGAGATGTTTTCCTGTCTTAAGGGGTTTGATCTTATTCTGTTACCATATTCAGACAATTTTGGTTGCTCATAATGTAATGCTTAGAATAGAAATAAAAGGAATAAAATTCTGTAGGTACATATAAAAACATTTATTACCCACTATTGAAGTCAGCTGGAAAACTGATTTTTCTATTTTATTATTAATTTTAGGTATGTTTGTGTTCCAATAAAGCATACTTTATCATATCTACAATTACACAGATATAGATATATAGATATAGATCACTGTACCTTATATTTCTTTCAGCAGATCTGTTGGTTTCTGTATATGCACTTGGTTTAGGTGGACATATCTGCCTATATTTTTCAAGTTAAAGATAATGTCTGTTAGGTAAGAAAACACTTCTCTGTTAGATTTAAATTTATGAGAAAACATTTACATTCAAAGAGATGAAAGTGTGTTTGAACAATAGCATTACTGGAGATAAAAATCTTCTAAATATGTTCATTTTATTTTAGTTTCCAGTCATCAGTAAAGAATTTTTACACTTATCTCTATTAGATAATGATACAATATTTTAAAATAATAAGAATCAGGGCTTCCCTGGTGGCTCAGTGGTTAAGAGTCCGCCTGCCAATGCAGGGGACATGGATTCCAGCCCTGGTCCGGGAAGATCCCACATGCCGCGGAGCAGCTGAGCACGTGCGCCACAGCTACTGAAGCCCGCGTCCTGGAGCCCGTGAACCCGTGAGCCACAACTGCTGAGCCCACATGCCACAACTGTTGAGGCCCGCGTGCCTAGAGCCCATGCTCTGCAACGGGAGAGGCCACCTCAGTGAGAAGCCTGTGCACTGCAACGAAGACCCAACACAGCCAAAAATAAATAAATAAATTAAATAAATAAAAATAATCAGAAGAAGAATCATTTTTTGTTAGGTATCAGAGAGATTTTTTTCTCAAAGACTTATCCCATTTGAATACTATCAAGAAATGTGTTTGCTCAGATAAGATGGTAAACACTTTCATATTTCCAGTACACCCACCACATTGAGAAAGACCACACTGAGTTGTTAGAATTAAATTTTACAGTACTAGGTTCTGTTACAATTTGTGATATAAGACTTTTCTCTGCTGTTTTTCTAAGTATCTGATTGGCCTACTTATACATTCTTGCTTGTTCTCAAGAAATTATATTCAACTATTTTTTTGTACTCCTGAGGACATGTGTTAATTACATAGGAAACACTTCCCTTTCATATTCTTTCATTAAAGTCATCTTGCTGTGATTAAAGTAATCAGGGTTTTAACATGCAAGTTGTCCTCATTTTATATTTAAGATCATTTGTGGAAGAAATAAATTAGAGTAGTAAAAATGGATTAGACCAGTTCCCATGGAATCTAGCTTCTTTTGAATCTGTACAAGGTCACTGCTCTAGAGTCCCGAGTTTTAGTTTAGAATTTAGGTGGTACTCACACCAACTTTTTTTAGCCCCCTAAAAAATCTTATTCAAATTAAGATTTAATTGTTCAGTACTATCAAAGTAAAAGGAAAAATAATGTAAGATAGAAAGCCTGAGAAGTTATTTTTAAGAGTATAATTATAACCGTTGCACAAATTAAAAACTATAAATCTGGCCTACATTTTAATTAATTCAATGAAGAAGTATTCTCTTAACATTAAAAAAAGTATCCTCTCCTCCCAAGAACAAAATTTCAAAGGTACTGTGAAATTTCACTGAATAGAAATTCAGACCTGGGTTTTTAACTGTTAGGTTGAACGCCTAAAGCTACATAGCCCTGCCACCCAATCAGCATTTTCTGGCTGAAGTTACTCTCTTAATAAAGAATAGTTCTCAAATTGTCTTACATGTTGTCAAAAGAATCACCATCAAAAAGTAAAAGGCCATTAAGCAAATCTAATGTATTCAGTCTTCATTGAGATACCAGTTTTTAAATCTCTCAATAATAATGGAAATGTGCCATGTAGGTCTTGAAAAACAGTTCGATACGATATGATTAAACTGTTTAACAGGAACACATGGGAAGATGTTCAGATCTCTGAATTTGCTTTTAAGTATTAATTATAGAGCACTGGAGATTCAAAGTAGAAAAGCAAGTCTGTCTTTTTTTCTTGGTTCGGAGATAAGTTAATTAGAACATTTTTTCAAAATTTATGATAGTTTTGAAATAAATTACAAGTGTCTCAATTAAAATAAGACTAAAGAACTACCCACTTCCTGGACATGACTACTGTTTAGTTTCTATATTGAAAGTGTACTTCCATAAGACAAGTAATGGCCATAAGTATCCAACGACAAACATAAATACACATTTGTGTGGGCAAATAGAATTAGAAAATCTTTCCAAGTGCTTCTTCAGTGAATATGCACACAAAACATATCCATGCTTTACACAAAACAAGTCACAATTAATTTGCTTTCATTTCCCTTGAACTGCATTTTGCAAGAAATTCTGGAGTGCTAGGTCTTACCTGTTATCCCGCCTCAGCTGGTTAGGAGATGAAACAGGAGAACTGGGCTTTGGAGGTATTGGAGGGTGAACAGTTGGTTCCCTTTAGAACAGAAACAGCAGTTCATTTCACCATGGAAACACAGTAAATTTTAGCATCTATTCACCAAATGCATTTATTGTCTATATGGAAATAGCTCGTGCATCTTACAACCCCCGTGCATGAGCTACCTGAAAGGCCAGGATCTTTGGAGCTCTAAACTTTAAATAAGTCAAATTACAGGTATTTTAAAAGTTAATTTAATCAGATTTTTGGAAACCCTGTCCTCCCCAACTATAGTTTGAAACATAATGTGTTCTTTAAACAGCTTAATATTTTACTAGACTGTCTCACTCAAGTTGTGACATTTTGGGTCAGCAGTGCATAGCATAGTAAATGGTTCTTGGGCATTAACATATAAGCTTCTTTAGGAATTATGCCAACTATCAAGCTGCTACGGAAACAGCAAAGAAAGGTTTTTAATTCCACAGACCTCAAGGTGAAGTTGATTTGAAGCTCTTAACTAAATCTGACTTAAATATTGTCAGCACAGGCCAGTTTGATGCTGGCAAAGCTTACATACACTGTCAGCCTAAACTTTCCAACAAAGTGCCAAGGCAGCCTCTGAGCTGGCATGATTTGATCACCCAGGAACTAGAGCAGGCAATTATGGGCATATATGGGATGGAGTCAGAACTTTACCTAGGGCATGTCACTCCCCCACCCTGAAACTCCCACCTCAGTGGTTCCCCATTATCCTCAAGATAAATTCTGTAAAAGCATCCCTGTGATCTAGACTCTCTGTACCCCTCTGGCTTCTGCAGCACCTTAGGGAGCAGGTAGGCTCTGGGGCCAGGCTGCCTGAATTGCCAGCTGTGTGACAATGGCCTAAACTGATTCCATTTCTTCATTTGTAATAACTCTTCCAATAGGATTGTTGGGGTGTTGTCAGGACTGAATGAAATCATGATTTTATTTAACACATTTATTGGTAGCTTTCTATGAACACGGCACTCTACAAAATGGATAATTCCCCTGTTCTCAAAAGGCTTTCAAAACACAAATAAATATATGACAGATGAAGAAAAGTACTAAGAAGAAAATAAAACAGAGTAAGAGAATATAGAGTGATGGTGTGGGAACACCTGTCTGTGAGGTGAAATTTGAGCCAAGACCTGAAGGAAGTGATAAAATGAGCCATGAGGATATCGGAGGAAGAGCATATAAATATGGGCGTCATCAGGTTTGAGATGGCATCTAACCCTTGAAACTGGATGAGATCACCAAGGAAGTCAGTGCAGGTAGAGACGAAAAGAGGGCCAAGCATTGACCCCTTACCCTTGCAATGTCCAGACGTCAAGAATATGAGAAGGAAACAGTAAAAGAGTCTGAAAAGAAGTAGCCAAGGAGAAAAGAAGAGAAATATGAGGGTAAGTCATGAGGGAAGTCAAGTGAGACAAGTGTTTCAAGAAGCATTTGATCTGTCAAGTTGCATTTGGCCATGCCAAATGCTACGGACCGAGCAAATAAAACAAGAGTGGGGAGTTACCATGGTGCTGGCAATATGGTGGTCATTGTTAACCCTGATAAGAGCAGTTTTGATGGAGCAGTGGTGAAAAAACCTTCTAGGAGTGGATTTAAGGCAAAATGGGAGGCAGAGGCTTTGATGTAGATACTCCTTTTGAGGCATTCTGCAGTGAAAAGGGAAGAGAAAAGTGGGAAGCTACCTGAAGGTTGATAGGTCAAGGAAGGTTACTAGAGTATGTAGATATGTTGATGGGAATGATCCAGTTAAGACAGTAAATTTGATGGTGCAGGAGAGTGAGCAGAAAATTGCTAGACTTGGGAAACCAGGAGACCTAGGGCACAAGGCGGGGAGGTTGGTCTTGGATGGAAGCACAGAGAGCTCACTCATTTGATCCTCACTTCAATCCCAGAGATAAGTATTCTGTTTCTTCCTATTTTACAGATGAAAAGACTGAGGCACAGATAGTGAAAATAAGTAACCCATGATGATACAGCTGGTAAGGGGCAGAGTGAGAAATCCAAACCAGGAAGTCTGGCTCCATAAGCCTTCCCCCAGCGGTGCTGCCTTTCAAGGACTCTTTGGGCAACACCAATGGCTTAGTTGAGGTTAAGGCTCATGGAATTAAAATAAGGCTAGTAGCCATTGTTTTCTTTTGCCATGTTCAGCTGCTTTAGGAGCATGAACGGACTAAACAGAGAGTTGGATTTAACGAAGTTTCTAATTCAGCCAAGAAAGTGGAACAAAGAATGATGACAAGGGAAGGGGTATGCGAGGAAGTGATTACAGCGAGGGACTGTGGGATCTGAGACGGACATGGAGGGAACTGAGGATATGAGGGGAGAGGAGCTGTGAAAAGATGGTAGAATCAATGGATTGATGGTTGTGGTGGGGCTGGAGAACTGGAATCAGAGGACTAGAGGGACTGAGCTGGATAGAGTAGATAAAAAGTGAGTAGACAGAAAATGGAAGCCAGAAAGGGAAAGCTTTGAAATTGAAGTTTTGTAGTGTGTGTGGTTACTTGCAAGGGCAAGATCTACGGGGTCTGGGGTAGGACAATGGCCAAGATCATTGGAGAGAAGATCAAGAAAGTGAAAGGCCAGGATGGGGAAGGATCCACTACATAGATTTGGAAATCAGCAGGCATTATGACAGGAGGGGTGTTTGTGGGAGACAATGAACCCAGTGCCAAAGTCTCCAGAGAGTGAGGGTGAGTGGCTCAGAGACCTTCGGATGACTCCAGTGAGGAAGAGAAGCTCATGATGGCGTGACTTCAAAGAGGATGAGGAGTTTTAGGGAGGAGGGAGTTAAACTTGATAGGAACTAGCAATATGGAGCAAACAGGATTCCGCCTCTTCCTCCAGACCCTGTGATACATGGGATTAGAAGAAAAGCAGCCCTCACTGAGAGACGAGCCTGAAGAGGAGCGAGTTTTGGTGCTACTGAATGATGCATCCAGGAAGGTTCAGTGGACAGGTTTGAGGGGTTGGGATGCTGTTAGGTTGGGTCATGTTCAGCGATGCACAGAGCTCTGTGGGGATGGTCCAGGTGACAAGAAATGATCTGATTGGAGTTCCCATGGGGATCCATGGCCACAGGGATGGGGGACATGAAGGAATTAGTCCTGAAGCTTTCTGGCAGTGTGGTGGTGAGTTCCTGGGTGATGGGCAGTGGAGAAGCGGACACAGAGCCTGGTGGGTCTTCTGGTTCTTGTGTTGATGGTGCCTTTGAAGCCAGCAGGAGGGCATGCAAAGCATTAGAGCACCTCCTGGCTCAGTTTAAGTGCTGTGGCTGTTGTGCTCGTCCCATACAAACCCAGCGCTGTAGCTGGGCCAAACCACTTGCACTTCCTAAACCCATCACACTACAACAGCACATTCTCTCTTCTCTCGGGCATACCTCCTTCTCCCTTTCACCTGGATACTCGTCTTACCCTTAAGACTCTATCTTGGCGATTACTGTCTGTAGTGGTACCCAATGCTGTGGTGGATACATTTCTACGTCTTCCCATAGCACATCTTCTTCACAACTCATACCATGCTGTTTTGAATTACCCAGAATTTTTTTGTTTCCACCCTGGCTGGACTGAAAGCCCTAAAAGGATAGTTGTATCCCAAGTACTAGGATTATATATGATGTTGGTGCCCAAGAAAGATGTGTTGAAAGGTGGAGGGATTGGCTGAAATTCTATTTGGTAAGGAGGAAAATGGGTACTGAAGAGTGGCCTAAAACTTTTAAAATCTGTTCAAGTTTAGCTGTCCCACAGAAGTCCATTGTTGATTCCACTACCTAATACCTAGTAGGTGCTGGGTGCTCAGATGAGTTATTGAGTAACATGATATGCCTGGAAAAAAATAATTTACAGGAAAATAGTTGCCCCATTCTAACCTAATGCTAGATTTTACAATTAGATATTATTTTATTTATATTAATTACCATCATCTTCCCTTCTCAAAACATATCCCTGCATCGGGAATAATGTAATGTCACTCAAGTGTTTCATGTATCTGTGTCGATTAGCTGATTATATGCTTCTCTTCCAGGGATAGAGGAAAGGGTAAGAAGGTGGTCAGTCCCATCTATTAATGACAAGGCACTGGATATCTGAAAACAGGCAGGAGAGCAGTAACAAGAAGGAAGGGAGGATTACAAAAAAGGAGACAAGGGATGCTGCCCAACTTTGCTTATGCCAGAATCACATTGATAAAAAGCTAAATTTCTCCCATGTAAAGTGGCTAAGCCCTCAAAGAGGTGGGTAAATATTGACTGGGTGTGTCTGAGAGTCAAAGATGAGTAGAGAAGGTCTGGGTGCACAGGAAAGAGATGGCTTTGGGAAAGAAAAGGTAGGCACGCAGTTGTGAAGGCCAGGAAAAGCAGAGGAGTGTATTTATTTCTGAGGGTGATGCATTTACACGCCTGTTGGCCTGGGCCAGGGCAAGTCCACACTGAGGGCAATCCACCTCAAAGGAGCTTTCATTTGCATCTCTGCAGTGACAGCCACAGATGATAGAACCCCAGCCCTGGGGACAATGAGAGGAGTCATTCATGCCGTGCCAGGAGCTTGAGGCCATGCCAAGCAGGGGCAATAGAATGTGAGAGCGAGGCAGGAAGCTGTGGCCCGGAATGTTTTGAAGAGACAAAAATGAGAGACATTCATGTGGAATGATCCTGTTTGAACACCACTTTGAGACACACTGTTTAAGCTTGGATGAGTCGACCCTGGTTCTCCCCTCTGTCTTTCCCTCAACCCCATAAGACATTTGCAGGGTCAATGACACCACACTAGTGGCTATAATTGTAAAGAATAACTTTCAGGAATCAAAAGGCAGCTTTTCCCAGCAACATGTGAAAACTTGCAGATTATAGCCCAAAGGCCAGAGCTAATAGAAATAACACTGTCAACTTGTTTATATTTCCTCATTTTAATACGCTGCTTCAAAGATCACTTTTTTGCATTATGGCTTTTTTGGAAAACATGCTTGGCTCTGTTACTTCTGTTCCAGATTGACTTTGAGAATAACATTTCTATTACTCAGCA